TGGGCAACCCATTTAACTTCCCTGCACCTCCCTTTCTTCATTAAGATGGGGATAATAATTATAACTGTATCTCATAAAAACGTTGTGAGGGCTGGGCGCGGTGGCTCACGCCTATAATCCCAGCACTTTGGGAGGCCGAGGTGGGTGGATCACGACGTCCAGAGATCGAGACCATCTTGGTCAGCAAGGTGAAACCCCGTCTCTACTAAAAATACAAAAATTAGCTGGGCATGGTGGTGCACGCCTGTAGTCCCAGCTACGCGGGAGGCTGAGGTAAGAGAATTGCTTGAACCCAGGAGGCGGAGGTTGCGGTGAGCCGAGATTGTGCCATTGCACTCCAGCCTGGGTAACAAGAACGAAACTCCGTCTCAAAAAAAAAAAAAAAAAAAAAAAAAACGTTGTGAAGATTTAAAGGGGAACACATGCAAGTGCTTAGAAAAGTGCCTAAAATGAATAATATGCTAGAACACTGGCTTGGGAGGAGAGGGGTGGGGTGCTTATTTGTAGCTTTTGCCAACTTCTGTGAAGTAAACATTCCCACCACGGCAAATTTCACGCTACTATTTAACCATCAGCCTCACCCAAAGAGCTCTAGCATACCAATGCAGCAGAGTAAGTTTCTAATAAATGTTCTCTTTTGTAATTACTAAATCTAAGGTCCTTTTTAGTTTTATCGATGCACATTTTCATGAATTGTACAAATGTTGAAGGAGGGGCAAGTTTAGAGAGGTAAATAGAGGTAAAAATTTAAGAACTGTAGCAGTTAGGAAAACTTTGAGGAAGATTTCAGAAGTTACCTGAATCTGTTTGGACACATGGGCATAAGTATTTAGAAGGGAGAATACATTAAGTCTTACTGTCATTAATAGGCTCTTGGAAACTGCGAGTTTAAGCAAAATGACATGTAACAAAACAAAATTTGCCATAGGCTAAATGATGGAAACAAGACTTAATTTCCTATGGCGTATTTCTGGTCACAAAACTTCCTCAAACTTTTAATAAAGACCAAAACATTTCTAATATTAAACATTGAAATAAATACTTCATTTATTTCATACATTTAAGAAAGAGTAACAAAAACAAGTAAGATAATTATTTCCTCAAAGCGCATAGGTGGCCAGAGCCTATCCTAGCAGTTCAAGATACAAGGCAGAAACTGATACGGGACAGATGTCATCCCACAGCAGGGGGCATACACACACACACACACACACACACACACACTCTGTTACTCAGACTGGGACCATTAGGACATACCAATTTACTTAACTTACAGTACATGTTTGGGATGTGGGGAGAACTAGAGTATCTAGAGAAAACCCATGCAGACTTGGGGATAATGTGCTAACTCCACACAGTGGCCCTGGATTGGAATCTATTGTTTTTCTGGGATTTGAACGAAAAGACATTGTTGGAAGAGCTGCTATATAAGTCATTTCAGTGGTCTTGGAAGGAACTGACGGTGACCCAGTGGGAAGACAGAATCAGGAAAATGTGTCTAGTAAAAGCCTACATGTACTGAAATGAACTTGTGTTGCCAAAATGAACTTGTGATGCCTAAAATTGATTTCCTGCTAGTGCAATCGTATCTCTTTTTGAAGAAGCAAAACTGTTTTGGTTAGATGTTTTTTCTATAGGAGTGTGGGAAGAAAAATTACTCACTGAAGCTAGCACAAGTCAGGGGTAGAAGGAGGACAGTTCCTGTAAGGATGCATATAAATGGATTTCTAGGAAACTAAACAGCCACATGTCAAGAAGAGTGGCTACCTGAAGGTGCCTGTAGATCCAAAACTGCCCTAGGTTCCCTATCAGCACTGATTCATGGATTTTGGATCTAGTTTCTCCTATCCTTATCGTGACTTGGCTATTCTGTCTTCTCTGCACTAAACAATTTCTTCACTCTCTATTCCTTATGCTTTACACTTACCTTATTATTTTTGTTCTCTCATGCACTGGTTCATAGATGACCCAATCCAAAAAGAAAGAAAACAGAAAGAAAGGAAGAAAAGATAGAAAAGGAAAGAAAGAAGAAAAAAGGGAAGGAGGGAGGGAGGGAGGGAAGGAAAGTAAGAAGGGAAGGAAGGAAGGAAGGGAGAGAAAAAGAGAGAGAGAAAGAAAATGAAAGAATATTCCTGGACCACACGAAAAGACAAAGAATCACAGTCTCTAGATGTGTCCTGTGTATTTGCAAATTAACCAGTACTACAGGTAGTCCTTAGGTATTCTAGAGTTGGGAAGAATCCTAAAAAGTTTTGTTCTGGCAGGGGCTATGAGTAAAGTATGGCCTTTGAGGAGTCAGAGGGCAATAGATATATAGAAACTTTATTTTAGAAAAAGGAAAAAACTTCTTCTGACCAGATGCAGAATTAAGAAATCAATTATTCAAATTCAGGCTTAACTTAAGACCTTTTTAAAAAAAAAAAAAAAAAAAAACAGCAACAACAAAAACGTATTCTGGTGATCTCTAAGAGAATCCATGCTATTATTTAGATTACTGTTCTGGATTCCAGTCAGTAATTAGGTCATATAAGAATTATAAATTCTGTTATTGCTAATTGATAGTTCTAAACACATAGTCTTACCTCTCAGGGAAAATAGTACTTAGATTTCAGAAGATAAAATTTTGCAAGTGGGGATAAAAGGAAGGCATGGAGGGTGTTCTTAAACATGTAAGTTATCATGAGACAAAAGGATTAGATCTAGAAATGGTTACATTTAATTCTCACAGCAGTTTATAAGGAAAGCATTTCTGTCTGATAGGTGATAAAACAAAATTCATAGAAGCTCAGTTCAATTACTCACTTTATAAATATTTATTAATAATTTTTAATATGCTTGGCATTGTAATTAGCACAGATTATACTATCATGAACAAAACAGGACCTTGCCATTCTATTGGATATGACAGGTTAGGGGGACAGGCAGAGAAATGACAAGTAAATTAAAACATGAGATTTTAGCACAAGGAAATAATATAGAATAATGTAAAATATGGCATGCAGTGAAAGAGGGTAACTTGAAAAGGATACCAGTTACTTGGAATTTGTTAGGGAACGCTTCACTGCGGTGATGACTTTTTTTTTTTTTTTTTTTTTTTTTTTTTTTTTTGAGACGGAGTTTCGCTCTTGTTACCCAGGCTGGAGTGCAATGGCGCCGATCTCGGCTCACCGCAACCTCCGCCTCCTGGGTTCAGGCAATTCTCCTGCCTCAGCCTCCTGAGTAGCTGGGATTACAGGCACGCGCCACCATGCCCAGCTAATTTTTTGTGTTTTTAGTAGAGATGGGGTTTAACCATGTTGACCAGGATGGTCTCGATCTCTCGACCTCGTGATCCACCCGCCTCGACCTCCCAAAGTGCTGGGATTACAGGCTTGAGCCACCGCGCCCGGCCTCATCGCAGTGATGACTTTTAATCAGCGACCTACAAGAAGAAAATAAGCCAGCCATGGAGAAAACAGGGAAGAGTGGCTTTTAGCAGATTTAATTGCAAATGTGAAAGTTGTAAGGCACAAAAGTCATTAATGTTTTACAGAGCACAGTGCTGCAATCCCAGTACTTTGGAAGGCCTAGGTGGGCAGATCACCTGAGGTCAGGAGTTCAAGACCAGCCTGACCAACATAGAGAAACCCCGTCTCTACTAAAAATATGAAAATTAGCCGGGTGCAGTGGCACGTGCCTGTAGTCCCAGCTACTCAGGAGGCTGAGGCAGGAGAATCACTTGAACCTAAGAGGCAGAGGATGCAGAGAGCCAAGATTGTGCCACTGCCCTCTAGCTTGGGTGACACAGTGAGACTTCATCTAAAAAAAAAAAAAAAATATATATATATATATATATATATATATTTTTTTTTTTTTTTTTTTGAGCAGTGTTACTCCAAGTATAGTCTAAGGATGGTTGCCCATCCAAGAAGTGTTCTTTACCAGTCTGAAGAAAAATATGTACATAATTGAGAATAAATTCTTACATTCTATGATAAGAATTTGATGGTAATTTTATATCTGTTGAATCTAATATTTTAAAAATGAATCGTGTCTGTTATTTTATGTCATTTTTCTAGTAATTTGTTTTTACTATTTAAATTGAAGAGTATTGAGCCATGTTGGGAGAAGATGGTCATTCCATGGTCCATTGATTCCTGCAGTTAGAAATACTGGCAGTATCTAAAACGTGCAGAATTTTTTAGGTTCTGGTAAACAATTACCTAAGATTACACAGAGTGAGAAGTGGTACCAAGATAAAATTCCAAGTCTTTTACTTCAATGTCTATGTGCCTTGGGAGGCCCACAGGCTCCCAGTAGGTGCCAGAAAGCCAGTAGCCCTTGGAAAGGCCTCTATTCATGACCATTTCTACCCTGACATCCAGTGAGTTATTATCCATGAGAAACAAAGCTTCTAAATAGAATATATTTTGATCATTTGGCATTTTTCAACATGTTCTTTTACTTATAGTCTTAGGTGATTTGCCAAGCCAGTATTTCCTGGGATTATGTATGTTCTTTTATTTTTGTTTTAGTTTGTTATTTTTTTTAGAGATGTCTTGCTATATTGCCTGGGACTGGAGTGCAGTGGTGAGATCATAGCTCACTGCAGCCTCAAACTCCTGGACTCAAGCTATCCTCACGCCTCAACCTCTTGAGTAGCTAGGACTACAGGTGCATGCCACCATGTCCAGCTAATTTTTTTATTTTTATTTTTTGTAGAGACAAAGTCTTACTATGTTGCCCAGGCTGATCTGGAACTTCTGGGCTCAAATGATCCTCCTAAAACACTGGGCTTACAGCCATGAGCCACTGCATCCAGCCTACTTGTGTTCTTGTAAAGAGTCATAGTGCCCTCACATCATACTGGGTCTGAAATGTCTACTTCCTTATCTTTGCCAATGAATATGCAGTAGAATAATTATGTGTTTCTTAATCTTTCTGTTTTTTATCTTCTTAAAATCTATTAGGATAGAATTTATAAGTGTCCAAAGTTAATACCTTGGTTTTCTTTTATCCAGAACCCTAAATGAGTCACACATGACCCTGAAAGTGATTCCCTGGTCTACTTGAATTTGACACAAGAGGAAAGCAGGAGGAAAAGGGACCATTCTCCAAAGGACCTGAAAGAGGATAAGAGGTGGGAGCGAAAGCCTTAAGGGATCCTGCCACTTTCTACTGCCATCTGAGCTACTCAGTGTTTGAGTTCCAAGAGGAAGTCATTTTACCTCTCCAGTCTGTTGTAGGACTTGATTTTGTAAAGCAGTGCCATGTTATGTGGTTGAAAGGGCACTGCACTTAATATCAGGAGCGCTGAGCTCATAGACTGACTTGGGCTCCTACTGGTGGGGACCTCTGTTAGTCACTTTACCTCATCCGAAGTATAAAGGTGTTGGACCAGATAATTTACTGTGTAGCTCTAAAACTTAACTTAAAACATAATTGCAGAAAGAAAAAAAAAAGAATAAGCAAAGGAGGAAGAAGTGAAAGAGAGAAGAAAGAATACAGAAAGGTCCAAAGAACTTTTCTGAGATTATCTTTTGCCTTTCTGTTGAGGTTACATCTCTTCTTCCCTTGTTCTTGGTCTGTGAGGCTGTTTTCCCTTATTTGGTTTCATTTAGGAGGCAAATTATGAGCATACCTTCCCCTTGTTCTAAACATACTGTTCCAGCTCTTTTATTGAATCTAGTTCACTTCCTGCTTACTGTTTTGCTAATAGCTGACTTTGCTAGAATCCTTGGTTTCACTGCTATTCTTCATGTGCTTCTCTGAAATTTACTCCAACAAATATAGGACTGAATTTATTGTGGAATAATATTGGCAATCTTAACTTACTCATTTAACTTATCTATTTTTATAGCAAGATAAATATTGTTAGTCTTAGACAATAGCTCACATTTTTTGAGAAGCATGCTTTCCCTTTCCATTTATCGTATAACATGACCCAGCCCTACTGTAGGTCATTCAAAAGTCAGCCTCGCATAATGAAAATATATTATGAAAACAGATGTTGAGATTTCCTGTACAGCAGTCAGCCAGTTCATATGCTTTGCCTCTGCTGGCTTCTTTTACCGTGAATTAACTTTTCACAATAGCAGCAGAGGCAAATATGGACATACATTTCCTTTGTTCTAAAGATACTGTTCCAGCTCTTGGAATAATATTGAATCTAAAAACCGTACGACCAAATTAGTTGCTTTTTCAGTATGTTTTGCTTCATCTGTGTCTATCCTAGGAATTAAAGTGTAAGTTGTTTTCACTGTTGAACTGGATATTTATATATTTAGCCAGATTTTCATGTGTTATTTAATTCTGTATTGTTTCTTATATTTGTAGTAAAATATTGAACAATTAAAAGTGTTGACTCCAATATTTGGTTTATGATATTCTCTTGGGAATTGTGGAAATGAATGATAATCCTTGTCTTTTCCCATAATGTGCGTAAAACCCTCCCCTCCTCTCTATCTCCTGCCTCTTAAAAGATCAGCTTATCTTTCTGACTAATCACAAAAACACAAATTGGATGTCTGGCCATTGTGAGCTCCTTTGAGTTGGTGCCTGTGTCCTTTTGACATGACCCTATCAGTTCTGCAGCACTTTCTTATATGTGTTCTCTTGATTTTGCTTTTAGTTACCAACCTTTGCAGACTGATGAGCTCACATAGTTTCAAATTTAGTGGGAATCATTCCCTTGTATTTTTCTGTATTTCTAGTTATCTCAGCCAATTGGTGCTAGATCAGGCAGGATGACTTAATGCAACAGTTCTCAAACATTTTGGTCTTAGGACCCCTTTCACATTTAAAAACATCATTGAGGATCCCAAAGAGCTTTTTCTGTAATGTGAATTATATCTTTTGATATTTATCATATGTGAATTTAAAACTAATAAAATGTAAATACAAAAATATATAACCATATATCCTATTAGCTGTCAGAGTGATGCCAACATCATACATTGTATAGCTTCTGGAAAACTTAAGAACACATTTATTAAAGAATGGGAGTGAAAAAGTCAAATAATTTGTTGGTGTTATCATGACAACAAGTTTTGATTATGTGGACCCCGTGAGATGGTCTCAGGGGCAATGCTAAAGACTGCTAATTTAAAGTACAGGCAAAGAAGAAAACCACCTTAGGGGAAGATTTCATGAGTCTTTCTCAGAGGAACTCCTTGCTAAACATCTATTTTCATGGTACCTAAGCATTTCACCTTTTAGCCAGGACTTTAGCCATTACATTACTGGGAGCTCCTCCTCAAAATGTAGAGATCTCAGAAAGCCCAAGGACTAATTCTTATCTATAGTTAATAATTCAATTTAAATTAGCTTATTAAATGGCTCTTCAGTTAAGGATGTTCAGATACTTGAACTTAGGATACGTATGTTTGATGGGGAAGACTTGGGAAGTTGTAGAGAAATAAAGAGAAGGAAGGAGTAATTGGGAGCATGCCCCTGTCTAAGAAGGTGGTTCCATGTGGAACACCACAGCCTTGCTTTCTCTTTTCTGTGTCTCCTGCCCTCTCACCGTGGCAGGCTGCTCACCAGCCCTCTCATACCTATCCTGAACTCTCAATTATGGGTGCTTCTTTTTGTATTTGTGAACTAGAAAAAGATAGCATGGGCTGTGCATATTTAAGCATAATTGGGAAAGTTGTAAACTTTTGAGTCCCTTACAAGAATTCAATCATGTATCTCTTTTCTTAGTAAAAATTTAGAAAAATTCCACGGTAGTAAAAACCTGCTTAGAGAAAACAAAAGGAGTCTATTGTGCTTAATGGAAACTGAAATTGCAAATAAGGTTTTTTTTTCTTTGGTCCTTTTTTTCTGGTTTATACTCTCCAATCTATGACTTGATAACAATTCGTAAGTCTAGGTTCAAAGAGTTCAAAATCCATATTACTACTAGGAATCATAAGGCTTTGATGAAAACTAATCATTGTTTTTCATAGGAGAAAGAACTAACTTTATTCTAGAGCTATTCTGAACTTAGAAAGAGTATTTTATTTAACTTTTGTTGTAGAGACAGGGTCTCACTCTGTCACCCAGGCTGGAGTACAGTGGTGCCATCATAGCTCACTGCAGCCTTGAAATCCTGGGCTCAAGCGATGATCCTCCTGCCACAGCTTCCTGAGTAGCTAGGACTACAGGCACGCGCCACTTTGCCTGACTAAGTTTTTATATTTGTTGACATAAGGTCGAACTATGTTGCCCAGGCTGGTCTCAAACTCCTGGACTCAAGCAATACTCCTCGCTTGGCTTTAGCTGGGATTTAAGGGGTAAGTGACTTTGCCCAGCCTTTGCATTTTAAAATAAAGTTTCTTAAATTATTTCTTCACAGCAGTGATATCTGTATTTTCTGTGTTTGTTCTCAAAATATTCCAGATTTGATTTCATCATCACCTCCACAGTTGCTCAGGCTAACTCACTTGCACAAAGTCACATGGAGCAGTGACTCAATCTAAACAAGCCAACGTTCACACAGGCATCATAATCATTTGTCTTGTGAGGTCCTGAAGGTAATTCATCCCATTTTTGTAGGTGTGAAAATGAGACTTCATACTTTTCAATGACTTTCTTCCAGAAGCACTGTAACTGTGTTTTGAGCTGGAACACCAACTCAGAATTCCTGACTTCCTGTTCAGTGAACTCTCTTTTCTCCCCACCCTGCAGTGACTTATCTCACTTCTACTTGCCAGCATACCCTGTTTGTTCTGTCAATATATTGAGAATCCAGCTCCTACACCTGGCCCAAACCATTATTGTTTTTCTCCTAGATCATTGTTACTGCTTTCTAATTAACCTTCATGCTTCTGCATTCTTCCCCTTTCAGTCTATTAGAAACAGTAACTGTTCTAAAATATGTCAAGTCAAATCACATCATTCTTCTGACTAAGATTTCCAAGTGCTCCCCATCTCACCTACAATAGAAGCCAAAGTCTTTAGGTAGGTATAAGGCTCTAGACAATGGGGCTCGCTGATATTCTCTGAAGTCACCTTCTACTATTCTGTCTCCTGATCACTAGTCTCCCTGCTATCTCACTGACATTTTAGACATGTTTCCATCTCAGAGACTTGGCATTTACTCTTCTCTGCCTGGAATGTTCTTTCTGCGGGTACCTGCATGGCTCATATGCCTTTTCCCGTGAAAAATACCCCATAGATAATCAAAAGATACTTTACTCTTTTAGCCAGACTCATATTAATCTAAATAGTAGGACACTCCTCTCAGAAAGCTGGAACTCAAAAAGAGAGAGAGTTTTGTGTTTCTTGGAGTATCTTTCCTGTTCCAGTCCAATTAGAGAGGTACTGAAGCCCAGGTGCTCAGGTAAAGCATTTCAAATAGCACATGATTCTAGATCTGGTTGTGTTTAGCTCAGTATCAAGTAACTTCCTTAACTTGTATTTATGCTAGTTTATCTTCTAATAAATCATAGGCAATATTGTAAAGACAGCCCCCCCCCATATCTGTGGGTTCCACATTCGTGGGTTCAACCAATCACAGATCAAAAATAGTTGGAAAAAAAAAACCAATACAACAGTAAGAGTAATACAAATTTAAAAACAATACAGTATAACAATGATTTGTATAACATTTACATTATAATAGGCTTATACGTAATCTAGAGATGATTTAAAGTGTGTGGAAAGATGTGCATAGGTGATATAAATATACTATGCCATCAGGAACTTGGGCATCTGTGGATTTTGGTATCCATGGAGGTTCTGGAACCAATCTCCTAAGGTTACCACAGGACAACTATATTGCATTTAAAAATAAGTCAGGTGATGGCTTTAATTAAATGCTGTTAGTTGAATATTGATTAACAGGCCAGATGGCTCTAAAATTTCAGCAACGAATTGGAAAAACAGCCGAGCAGTCCGATGGAAACACACTGATTTTACTGTGTACCTTTAAGGGTGGGTAGAATTGGCCTACAAGTGTTTGTGCCACATAGCTTACAGATATCCTGTAGTTTATATCCCCTTTCCACTTGTCTCAGTGGGCAGTTCTGGGACTAAATATACGTTGTTGCAGCTTCTCATGGAAAGGAGATGTTTTCTCTACTTCATCTTGGAGTTAACTTTAATTTACAGATACCTTGGAAAGACAGAATGTATTCCTTGAGAGAATTCCAGACCTAGCAAGTTGATACTGCATTTATTTGACAATGTCCTATCTTCAAAATGTCATCAAAAGCCACCATTTGCATAAACAAAGGTAAAGTGACACTTTGAGACCTAGTGTCTTAAGATTTGGCTAGCACAAATTCTCCTAAGTAAACCAAAACTCTTGATGAAACCAAACGATGTCCTATGAATCTCTGAGGAAGAAAAAGAATCATAGAAACACTAGAAGAGATTGCAGAGATGAAGAAACTGAGGCAAACAAAGCTCAAATAACTTACTGAGATCACCCAAGCCTCACTTCCTCACCAGGACAGATGAGAGAACCAGACAGCAGTACCACTCCTTGTTACGAGGGCTCTTCTGTGGTCTGGCAGAATCTGGTTTTGTGCCCTGGCTCAGCTGAGAAAACCACTTCCTAAGTTTACATATATATACATATTCAGGACCTGAGAGCTTACTGGAACCCAAAACTTTCCTGAATCGCTTTGCCTTATGTGAGGTTCAGTGTTCCCATCACTGGTGTCTGATGTCCCTCCAACTACTTTGGCAGTGAGAAGGTACTCTTCCTGTTTGAGAGATAATATGCACAGTTTTGACACTGTACTTTATTCTGCAGAATCCCTTTTCTGTTGCGTAGATTTCCCTTGGCTAGGGAAAGGAATGTTGAAAAACGCGCTGTTGAAAACACATTGTTTTTTCAACAGCGTGTTTTTTCCTTTGGGTCTTGAGGAGAGAAAGCAAGAGTGACCATCAACAAGTAAAAGTGTATTTTTGCCAGGAGGGGGAACATTTGCAGATACATCAGGTTAAAAATAACAAATGAAAAACCATGAACCAGTCATAAAATGAGCAGTTATAAAGCCAAACTTGAAGGAATTTCCATTCGCTCTCATGAAGTTTCAAAAGCTAAACATACTGGAAAAAACATTTCAACAGCGGGGAAAAGATGAAGAGAAAGACAACAAGTAACTTCATATAATTGGACCACATTTTTTGTTTGATTTATTTAACCAAGAGATGGAATAGAGATGCTGATATTACTAGGTGAAGGTTGTGATTAATTTATATTAAATATATAATTTTCTTGTCATAAACTTTGTTTTAATGAATAGTTTTCATTAGAAAGAGACACTGCCTTTCTCATCATTACATTATATGTTTCTGCCAGCAGCATTTATGGTGATCAGAACAGCAGCACATGCCTCGCAATAGATACAATTTTCTTTTCTTTTTTTTCTTTTT